TTTGGTGGCGCACAATTAACCTGTAGTCGGTCGAAAATATATATCGGAACATAATCTAAATCTGAGCCAATTTTAACAAAACGCAATGATGTCATTCTAGTCTCAATTTGAAATGTTGTGTAAAATTTCGTGTCAATCGGACAGACATGAGAGTTTGGTGTCCCATTTACTTGAAATCGGACGAAATTATATATGGGAGCTATAGCTAAACCTTAACAGATTTCTACAAAACTTCACATACTCTTAAAATCTGTACTTAATTCAGAATGCTTTGCAAAATTTCGTCTCGTTTGGACAAACCTTGGGAATTTGGGGAGCCATTTGTTACCGGAAAAAGGGAACCAATATTTATAATTTTGGGTGAGAGATTTGGCACCCAATAAGAACCCAATGTACCAAATTTCAACGAATTCGGTTGAAAAACGCGCTTAAGAACCATCAAAACCCCGTAAATTGGGGGGTACGCTTATATGGGGGTCTACCGGAAAAAGTTGACCTTTATTTATAATTTTAGTGGAGAGATTTGGTACCCAATAGGAAACCCAATGTGCCAAATTTAAGCGATGTACCAAATTTCTACACCCAATACATTACGCTCTGCAATATTTCATGTCAATCGAACTGGAAATAAGACGAATATACACGTGGGAGCTATAACTAGATTCTTGTTTATGAAATAAATTGAAATTTAACCGATTCTCATCAAAATCAATGTAGAGGGTTCGTCGTCCTTCGTCTCTGTTATGTGGATATGGATAGGTTTATAATTTACTGATTCCCGTAGATTCATAGTGTAGAGTATTTTGTTAAGGATATTGAAAAAGTAAAGTAAAAAAAGTGTAATAAGTTTTGATTTTTGTTGTTGTTTTTTTATATATATGTACCTTCTTATTTTTGTTTTTGAAATTATCAAAATTTATAGACGACAATTTTTTTTACACAATTAAAAATAAAATATAGTATATAATAAGTAATATTATTATGATGGAATACAAATATGTGTTTTTAAACATTTTTATGTGGCAAATATATATAGATGGGTGGGAAATTTTATGTTTTTTGTAATGTTATTTTTTTTTTTTTTTTGATTTATAAAAAACCAAACAATTATTTTGAAAAAAAAAACAAGAATGTTATATATAATCCTAACTTAAAAACGGCCGTTTTTAGAGAGAAAAAATAATATTAAGTGTTACTAGGTAGGTATATGATGTAAATGTGTGTACTACTTCTTCCACTACTTCCAAGAGCAAAATTAATCATGGCTATTTTGTTGTTGTTATTATTATCAATTATTATAGATAGCATCTCATATCATTATTAAATATTACCACTAAATGTTTTCATTTTGTTGTTTTGTTTGTATCATATATATATAATTAATATAACTCTATAAAAAAAACCTCTATTTTAATTAATTTTTACTTAAAAACTATATTTTTATATTTATATATATAATTTAAGAGAATATGCGCAAGTCATCATCAAACCAAAAGAAAAACACCTGCGTAGAAAATCTAATATTTTATTGATTCTTTCTTTCATCGTTTCTCCACACACTCACACACACCCAACACACTTCGAGGAGGAGAAACAATAAATTTTGTTTTTTATATGTTGAGTGTTGAGTTTTGTTTGATTACGCATTTTTAAGGACTGTCTGTCTGTCTTTCTTATTCAAAATCATTTTTATTGCTGCAAGAAACAAAATTTTTATGGAAGGAAAAAAGAAATATGGTATGGTTATGTCAGAATTCATAAGAAAAACAAATAAAGAAAGAAAGGAAAAAAAGAACACAACAAATTTGAGAAAAAATGATAGCAAGTTATTCAACACAAAAAAAGAAATCTACAACAAATAAAATATTAATTATAAATTCATACAAAAAAATCATAGATATATGTGTATATAGTAGAAATTATCAAATCATTAAATTATTTCAATTAAAAACAAAATAAAAATAATAAAAAAAATATATATAGTGATATATAGAGGTTGGTTTATAGAAACAAATTCAATTGTGTAAAATGTTCTTTTTCAAATATAGGTATTTTATATATTATATATATGGTGTATTGAAAATTGTGGATAAATCAAGATATCAAGGAGGAGTACTAGTAGTAGTAAGTAGTAAATTTCATCATAAAATATATGTTGTTGTTGTTCTTGGTCTAAAGTAAAAAAAAAAATCGTACATTTTTAAGCACCCAAATTTTATAACACGTTATTATGTTGAATATAAATATTTTTCATTTCAATAATATGTTTGAGGAAAAAAATCAACATGGAGAAATAAAGCAATGAATATATAAGAATAATAATAATAATATGGAAAAAGGAAAATTTTGGTTTTGTTATGGAATAAATTTACTTACCAACAATCAGTTACACACACACAGTGGGGGATAATACGCTTTTTGCTTTTGAATAACAAATATGAAGGGTTGACTTGATGGCGACTCGGCTGGTTGGTTGTTGCTTGGTTAATGCTTATCGTTTTTCTTTTGATTATTGTTGCTACCCTGATTGGGACCGGAGCCGGGTGGTTGTGGAGCACCAGGATAACCTCCAGGCGCTCCATAACCACCAGCTGCTCCCGGACCACCATAGCCGCCTGGTTGAGGATAGCCAGCTGCAGCTGCTGCCGCATAATATTGAGAATATTGTGCATATTGTGTTGGTGTCATACCTTGTGGATAACCGCCACCGGGTACGGCTGCTGCTGCTGGACCAGCAGAAGGTGCGGCAGGAGCTCCAGGTGCAATATTCGGGCCAGCGCTACCACCAGGAATAGAACTACCAGCATTCGCCGCCTGTGCGCTCTGCAAAGAAAAGAAAAATAAAATAAAATACGAATTGATAATTTAATAAATTAAAATAAAATATATTTAATATAAATAATCTAAGATTTATTGAAAGCAATACTATGTATTCATTCTTAAGAGTATTTTTGCATTAAAAAAATATCGTTATCAAAAATACCGTAACAATATCTTCAGCATTATATTTCATACAAGTTGCTAATATTAATGTGCTAATATTACAAGTTGCTAATATTAATGTGGCAAAATATATTATTTAAAATAAACTCAGATTCAAATTCAGATTCAAACGTCACCGGAAAAATATTCTTTGAACGAACAGTATTGTACCAAAGGTCGAGTATGAAGACACGCTGAAGAAAAAAAAACACAGTAGGTTATGTTAGGTTTGGGGATGTCCAGTCACGAATGTGGCTGCTGCACTCTGAGACCGTTAGGTCCATTGTGATCATCCACGAATGGCGAGATCTATGGGGGAGAAAAGGGGGATAGAGAGAGATAAGAAACTTACAAGTAAGTGTGAGAAAGTAAGTATGAGATAGTATCGATGGCTATAGAGATCGGACAGAAGAAACTTTAGGTTTCTAATGACGCCTTAGATCAAAACAGGTTCCACTAATATCATGGTCCCATTTACTGGTAAAGGCCCTGATATTGCAATGACCAGTAATGACTCCTGTCATTACTCTAATTTTAGCTTTGCTCAGGTTTTCATTGGTTTCATTTCATTGATTTCATTTCGTCGAAGAACGCATCAAAGTACCGAAAAAGATGACAGATGGGTGGTTTGATTGGTTCATCGATTGCTAGATCTGTAGATTGAGATCCACGTCTAGCTAATTCGTCTGCTTTTCATTACCCATGATGTCACGGTGTCCTGTAACCCAACACAACAGATTGCTGTAAGTTCTTCCAAAACTGTTGAGGACGGCCTCAGATTCGATGGCTTTAAGAGTCGCTTGACTATACACCAATTCTTGCATGCATTGAGTGCAATCTGCCCTCTCTCCGTCCGTTCTAAATCTAAACCGACCTGTACTTTGTTTATAATTTAACATGGACAGACGGATGGACATGCATAAATGCATATTTTTAAAAGAAATCATGTGTCTATCTCGTTTCCTTTTGTCTGTTACATACCCTGTATCACAGTGTGGTGAAGGGTATAAAAATACACGTCTTATATGGTCCTTGAAAAAACATTATTCAAAAAAATCCACGCCTCAGTTGTAAAATATCTAACACAGCGATGAATGTGACAGCCATTATTTTGTCATGTTTCCTTCGAGGATTCGGAAGGTACTTAACACAATTTACTTGGTTCTCTCTCTCGACTACACGAGGGTCAGCGATCTGATTTGATTTAGTTTATCCTCTGAGCTCTTGTCCTTCGTTCAGAAATACGAAAGATCAATTAACGCTGAAGATAACAAGGAGGTGGGGTCTGAACCATTTATCAAACCGTTTGTTAAAACAATGATGTCTGCACAAAAATATATATATGTGCCGTCAAAATCTCCACATCTCAATAACATTGATTTTGTTACGAACTTAAGATGACACTATTTTTGAAAGGACAATAATAGCCACACAATTAGGTTTTACTGGAGCAATAGCTTAATAATCTGCCAACTCTATGATCTATTTAGCTTACTATATTATTTAATATAAATCATATATTATATAAATATACACTTTGCCTAACCGAATTGGTTTGCAACACTACTTTAACCCTAAATAAAAACAATACACATTATTTCCATATTTGTTGAGGTACATTGGGAAAATATTTCAACATTTTGTAAATAAAAATACCATTGATATGAGAAAATCTCATCAATATAAATAAAGTCATCAAATATAACTTCTTTTTTAAATAAACTTATTAAATAACTACCATTATATAATTACCGCGCTATTTTAAAAGCACTTTCTTCAATCTAAGCCAACAAATATCAAATACTATAGAAATTTTGATATAACATGAGAAATTATGGCTTTGGTAAATATTTATAGCATTATTTTCAGTATGTACACAACCAAATTTCTCCATAAAAAATAATAAAAAAAATAAACTACTTTTCTTGCAACACATAATGCCAACATCATCTTTTAGTCTTATTATTATCGTGTATAGAAATAGAGAGCTTATAACTGTTGTCAAAAAACAAATACACTTAACGTACCTTCATTTGTTTTTCAATAGCTTCAGCTTCTTCAATTTTACCTATACTACGATAATATTCAGCCCATTGTGCACTATAGTCCTTTTGGCCACCAGCATTCGGAGCAGAACCAGCAGCACCGCCGCCACCACCACCACTACTACTACTTCTAACACCACCAGCAGCAGCAGAAGAGGCGGATGTTGACGTTGACTGTGAAGCCTAGTTATTATATTACAAAACAAAATGCGACTCAAATAATTGACTTTCGTTTGTTGGTTAACATTAACATAACTTAACATTGAATAAAACAATACAAAATATATAAAAACACTTAATTTTAATATAATCTTAATTTAAGGTGTCCTACACTCAATAAATAAAATATCCTAAGAAGACAATTAAAGTAAATAAAATCTCTAAAAAATATTCTAACAAATTGGTTTTGTCATTTGTCAAAATTAAGAAAAGTCATCTCTTCAAAAAACAACCTTTTTTTGGTTATATAGAATTCTAAAGAGCAATACATTTTATCGTCAACATATTGCATAAAGATTTATGGACGTGCCCAAACGACAAACAGTTTCTATTGCCATTTCTTTCAAAATTCCCAAGCATTTGTTTTATATGCAATTTTTTAAACACAACTTACCTTCATTTGTTTCTCAATTGCTTCGGCTTCTTCTATTTTGCCTATACTTCGATAATATTCAGCCCATTGTGCACTGTAATCTTGTGTTTGTCCAGCACCAGTGGTTTGTGCTGCAGCTGCTGGTGTTGCTGCCTGAGGCTGTGTTTGTGCTCCGCCAGCTGCTGCTTGTTTAGCTTTCAACTGTTGTTCAATCATTTCGGCTTCTCGGTGCATGCCCATTGATCTAATTATAAATAATAATAGTAAAAGTTTATATTTAAGCAATATAATATTCTTACTTATAATATTCTATCCATTGCGCTGAATAATCTGCCGCCTGACCAGCTGCTGCATTGGCAGTTTGACCCATGGCAGCTTGAGGTTGAGCCTGATCACCCCAACCACCAGCTTGACCATAGCCAGCCCATTGTTGTTGATATGCCGCAGCTGCAGCACTTGGATCTGCCGCATTATAACCTCCTTGATTGCCACCACCATCTTGTTGTTGCTGGGCGGGTGGGCCACCATTAATAGATTTACGACTTATTATTGGTAAGTCCATATTGATTTTCTCTGCAATCATTTGTCGTGCAGCTTCAACTTGTTCTGGTGTTCCCTTGCATTTGAAAAGTTTCTCCGAGGGGGGATTAACAGCATTACGATCCATTTCACAATAGGCACCAGATTGTTGATTAATTAATTTGATTGTTTCTCCACCACGTCCGATGACAATCTATAAGTGATACGAACTCTTAATTACGCAAGTCATTCATTACTTCAATACTTTTTCTACAACTTACACCACACTTGGAAGCTGGTACCATGAAGCTAATTTCTTCACGTGCCGGTTGTTGAGCATGATTAACACCATAACCATAGCCATAATTTGAATTTCCATTATCGTTGCCACCCGAAGGATTACCACCACCAGCTCCGCCATTGCCATTACGATTTCGTTGCTATAAATAATATATTAAAAAATCGAAAAAAAACCAAACTTCCTCACAACAACAAATTACCATAACATTTTCAATGAGACCATCAATCATGCGCTTTGCATCGTCCACTTGCTGTCTTGAGCCTTGAATTAGACATCGACGATCGCCTGGCTCATCATGTTTGCCTTGTATAAACTGTAATTTACAGCCGCATTCTTGTTGTATCTTACGGATCATATCTCCACCTTTGCCAATAACAACACCAACAGCTATTTTTGGAACAAAAACTTCCAACGATTCGCCACCACCATTGGCTCCAAAGTTATTATAATTGCCTCCACCGCCACCATTGGGGCCATTGTTGGCTCCCATACCACCACCCATGCCGGGTCGTGAATTTCCTGCCTGTTGATTTTGGGCATCTTTTTGGGCAATTAAATCCAAAACCAATTGTTTTGCCATTTCTATTTTTTGTGGTTCACCCGAAATGCGTAATGGTTTCTGTAAAAAACAATACAACTCTTAATGAAATTCAAAACACCAAAAATATTCTACATGGAACTTACAATAAGCTCCTGATTCGGACCATCCTGAATAATGACCATTTTGGCTCCAGTTTTCTCTTGCAATTGTTTGATGGTGTCACCACCTTTACCAATTACCAAACCAACTTTTGTTCCCGGTATCATTATCTCCTGATATGGAGGGAAGCCCGTGGGTCCGGGAGGTGGCATATTAATTGTCAAAACAACTTCCACATTGCCACCACCATTACGATTAGCCAATTGCTGAATAACATCACGACCATTTGTCACCGAATCTCTGGAACCTCTCAATGTAATGACACGGTCACCTTCTTGGCCCATTTGTATTTTACATCCGGATTCACCTTGTATATGAGTTATGGTATCACTGCTACCTCGTCCATAAAATGCATTCATTACACTATCGGGTAAACGAATTTGTTCTTCGCAGGTGTTTCCAGCCGTTGCAGCAATTCGGGCAGCCACGGCAGCAGCCTGAACCAAAGCTTGGGACATATTGGGATTATTGCCGCCGCCGCCACCACTGCTCATATTGGAATTGCTATTATGACCGCTTTCGCTTCCATCTGGGCTGGTGAAACGTTTAACATCTGGACCGCCATCGGAATCATCATGTGAACGTTTAAAGCCGGCCGGGGCTCCACCAGAAGGTGGTGCATTCGGTTGGATCTTAGCGGCAATCTGGAGAGATAGAGCAGACAAAAAACGCGTGATATGAGAAAACCTATATGTATGTATGTGTGCGTGAGGGGAGCAACACTCCCTTCTCTCTCTCAAACACTTTACATTCTTTTTATAATACGACAAATCAATTCGCACTTGTACACCGCAAATAATCGGCATTTACCTGTTTTGCACGTTGTAGAGCCGCAGCAAATGCTTGAGATTGATTTAAATTATTGTGTGCTGCGGTAGAACCACCAAAATCACCCATGTTTTTTATGCGTTGTTGTAAAACACGTTTCGTTTATAAAGTGCGAAAAAGTCTTTGCTTTAGCCGTTGTCGAAAAAACACCTATGCCGACAATTTTCCAGAAAGGATTTCCGAATCTTTTATTCACAAAATCCTATCTGAACCGTAATGATATATTTTTTTTTAACAAAAACTGTATATTTTTGCTGTATTTCCAACTTTAAAAATGATTTTTGATTTTACTTGCGGTGAAAAAATATGAAACAAGCCCTATGCGAAAGCAGTGCTGCCACAACACAAACGTTCCCCTGCTAACGAATGGGAGGAGAAGACAAAATGCCCGATAAAAAGAAGTCAAAGTGGAGAATCGAAAGTTACGAATGCTGAGAGAGACAGGGCAGTAGAGAATGCAAGCACAGTGCTACCACAACACAAATATCAAATGTCGGAAATTTGTTTGTGCAGTGCTGTCAGTTTGGTTAAATTTTTTGGTTTAAAATTCAAATTAAAAACAAATAAAATATTTCTTTTCTAAAAAAATTAACTTTCTTCAACTCATCAGTAGTCGATGATTATTTTGAAATAATAAGTCTTGATTTGGATTAGGCGAGTTTACTTGCGGCAATTCTTATCGTTCTCTTTTGAACTTGCTTCATGCGTCTATACAAGGCAATTCGGTTTCAAAAAAATTTTTTTTATTTGTTTCAAATAGTTTTTTCACATTTAAATAAATATAAAATGTCAAAAAATACGAAATACACAAAACGAATTGCCAGAAAATTGTCGGTACGAGCAATTTTTTTCCATTTCTATTCCCCTTGCCCCTCTCTCCTACAAACAAAGACTTGCCGCAAGTAAACTCGCCTAATCTAAATCAAGACTAAATGTGAAATGGATTAACATGATGTCAGAATACAAATTGACAAAGTCAACCGTAGGGAAGGTCTTTATTTTGACTGAACAAGCCGAAAGCCAGAGATGCATTTTTACGACTTGCATTATTGTATACAAATTGTAAAAATTGTGCTATTGGTATAATAATACAATAAATTTTCGCTTATTTTATTACTCTAGAAGTTTTTTAGAAATGAAACTCATGGAACGGTGAAAACAATATTCTATGTCAGACTTCGTATATATAACTTTATAGTACCGTTGCACAAGTCTGGTAGTCTATCAAACGTCTTAAACTACAGAGGAATTGCAAAATTAAGTGATATCCCAAAATTGTTTGAAAAATTAATTACCGCTGTTATTTCTCACAAATTTAAATCCATTTTAAGTCCATATCAACATGGCTTTCGTACTATAACAAATCTTATAGAGTTGAATTAAACTCTATAATTGTATATTCTATATTGTAATAAAGGGATTTGTTCAGCGAAATCAAACCGATACCATTTATACAAATTTTAGTAAATGTTTTGATAGGGTTAACCATGAACTCTTATTATATAAATTAGTTAATATGGGTTTCAGTATAAACTTAGTCAAATGGATATCATCTTACTTACAAAATAGATCACAACTAGTTTTGTTTGAAGGATGTCTCTCAAAATCGATTAACGTACCTTCAGGTGTTCCACAGGGAAGTCACCTCGGGCCGGTTCTTTTTCTATTGTTTATAAATGATTTGCCAACTTCTGTAGTAAATTGTTAATGTATGCAGATGATGTCAAGTTGTTCATGACCCATAATTCTGAGAAACAAGCCAATTTACTCCAAAATGATTTAAATAACCTTTTTCAGTGGTGCAGATTAAATTGTATGGATTTAAATTTGAACAAATGTAAACATATGTGTTTTTCTAGAAATTCTTCATTGATGAGGCAATACAATATTATCGGTTCGTTTTTATAAACAGTTGAAACATTCGTGAATCTTGGTATTTTAATGGATACAAAGTTAAACTTTAACAATCATGTTATTTCTATGGTAAATAAAGCATATGGTGTATTAAGTTTTATAAAACGGTGGGCCAAAGAATTCTCGGATCCTTATATAACAAAACAACTATACACGTCTCTTGTTAGACCTATATTAGTATATGGTTCTGTTGTATGGGATCCTCAATATGCAATATATTCTGATAAAATCGAATCAGTGCAGAGGTTCACATTATAATAGTGATTTTGTGTTGCCTTCTTACACTAGCAGGTTAAAATTAATTCGATTACCTACATTAAAAAGTAGACGTATTATGTTGAACACTATGATGGTACTCATGGTATAATAATAGAAGGTAACAGCAAGTGTTGTTGTACAACAAACGATACAACAACCACATGGAAATTTGTTTTTGTAAGTTATACTAGTGTCAACGTCATTTGACAGAAAAATGTAAACAAACAAATAAATTATATTTATTTCAAAAATAAAATATTTTCGAATCCTCAAAATAAAATTTGAAAAACATGAATGAAAATCTGTCAAACTTATATTTCTATCGCTTCCACATCTTTTCTATAATTGAGCTATTGCAATTTATATGTGTAACACATATGAAAGTGCAGGGAATTGCGAGTTATTCTATGAAGAAAGATTTGCTTCCTCAAACTTTCCCAACAGGCAGATTGAGTAAAATGAATACGGGAGGACATTTCATAAAGAACAATTTCGAATTGTATGCGTTCCCAATTTTCCTGTTGGGTGATTTTTAAAAACATTATTCGTCAAATTCATATTGACACTAGTATTACGTTGAAATCAAATCAGCTGGGACTTGCTGTTACCTTTTATAATTGTACCATGGATGGTACTAAAAATATTAAATGGTAATATACCCTCTGATTTCATCTATTAGAATAAATGTTCCTTTTCGATCTAGTAGATATTATCAACTATTATATGTAGATTTTCATCGCACAAATTATTCTATGGGAGATCCACTCAGTAAAATTTGTATTGATTTTAATTCTGTGTACTCTAATGTAGATTTTAGCAAGAATGTTGAACTTATAAAATCTAATATAATTGTATTTTTAAATGAGTAGTGCAACTTAATAATAAACTGGCTGTTGGAGTAGATTCTGTAGCTGGTTTTCTATTTCCTTCTCACATTCCACCATGATGCGGATTATGGTGTGTACGCGATCCCTACGAAAGTGGGGGTCGCCCCCTCGGTCGGCAGGGGTGGGAAAGTGAGGCGTGGGAACGTTCGACAAAAAAAAATGTTTTTTGGTCTGCCCATGGTAAAATTATTCAAGGTATAAATTCAAGCCATATCAACTTATAAATTACTAGCAAAGTACCCGCTACTTCGTATGCGGAAAGGGAATAAAAAAATATTTCATATGGAAATCGTGAATACCGTATAATTAATTGCACTATAGTTCTGAATTCCATCTCTATTCCTACATTTAATATCAAGTTTATTACCATTTAGTACTCTTCATACACATAAGCACTATTTTCCGAAATCCACACTTTAGCAAAAACGTACAGGTTCCACACATAATTCCATTTAGAACTTTTCGAACACATAAGTATACATTTTCAAGACTACCTCTATACCGTCACCTCCACTAAATTTAGTACCAAAAACCCTTTGGTCGTTCTTTCTAACTCTCTGTCAATGACCAACATTCTAAATTTTAGGTTTCCAGCTCTCTCCGTTACCCAAATTCAAATTATTCCAAATTTAGTGAATTTTGTATTCTATTTACTATTGGTACACAAAAATTCGAGTTTCCAAAGTTGTCTCCATAGCTCAATACTACACTTCAACAGTAATCTAAGTTCCAAATCTCAAGATTCAACCAAATCCAAATTGTTTCAAATTTAGTACCATTTAGTAATTCTCATACTCATAGGTAAGAATTCCTAAAACTACATCAATCCTACACTCTAAAAGTAATCTTATTCCACCAAAGTCCAAACTGTTCCAAATTTAGTAATTTTCGTACTCATAAGTACAAATTTCTTTCAAATAGTCAAAATTTAAGAATTTCAGCTCTGTAAGAAACCATTTCGCACTTCTCAATATTCCAAATCTGCTTTCAATCGTAAGTCCAGCTTTATCTGTTCACTAAACTGTACCATATTTGTTACCATTCTGTACTTTTCCTACAATCCCAGAGTAACCTAAGTTGCAACTTTCAAGATTCGAGTTCTACACGTTCACCAAACCTTAGGTCCACATTTAAAAATTCCAGCTCTATTCGTTCACCAACATCCAAATTGTTCCATTTATTACTTTTCGTAGACGTAAGTATGAGTTCGAATTTCCAACACTGTCTCAATCCTTTGCTATAAGAGTAATTTTATTTTCAAATCCATCCATCTCTATCCTTTCACTCAAATCTAAATTGTACTAAACTTAGCACCGTTTAGTACAGATAATTACATATTTTTAAAAGTACCTCATCCTACACTCCAACCTTATTTTTAAGTCCAAATATTATTTGTGTGTACTTTTCGTACACACAAATACGAGTTTCCAAAGATGTCTCTCTTCAACAGAAATCTTAATTCCAAATTTCAGGTTTTCAGTTTTATCCTTTCAAGCAACATCCAAGTTGTACTAAATTTAGTACCATATAGTACCTTTCGTAACAATAACTACGAATTTCATAATCTACCTCAGTCCTACACTCCAACAGTCATTTTTATTCCCAATTTGAAGACTTCAGCTCTATATGTTCACCTTAATCTAACTTCGACCAAATTTGGTACCATTTAGTACTTTTCGTACAAATAAGTACGATTTTTTAAAGCTAATTCCGATTATCAAGATTCCATCTCTACACACTCTACTGAAGGTAAATAGTACGGAATTTAGTACCATTTTACACTTTTTATACACATATAAGTACGAATGTCTTAAACCATTTCCGTACATCAACACAACTTCCCAACCTGTATTCCATTTAGAATGTCAAGACTCCAGCTATATATGTTCAATATATTATACAATAGGAACTAAATTCAGTAAAGTTTAGTACCTTTAGTACACTTATAGGTCGAATTTCCAAAAACCCTTTTGCACATCTTTCTAACTTTCCATCAGTGACCAACATTCCAAATTTCAGAATTCTAGCTCTTCCCGTTCGCTAATAAAAAGGGTACCATATTTGGTACATTTTAGTACTTTTCGTACCCGTCTACTTCCAACAAAACTTCCTGCATACCCCGATCCTACACCCCCATAATGATTCCAAATTCAAATTTAAATGTACCAAATTTAGTACACAGTAGTACGAATTTCCAATACTTCTTACTAAACCCACACCCCCAGTTATCCTAAATCCAAGTTTCAGAATTCCAACTCTATCGGTTCATCCACAATTCAATTTGTACCAAATTTAGTACACTGTAGTACGAATTTCCAAAACTTCATACTTAACCCAAACCTACACTCCACAGTGATCCTAATTCCAAGTTTCAGAATTCCAACGCTATCGGTTCACTCACAATTCAAATTGTACCAAATTTAGTACACAGTAGTATGAATTTCCAAAACCTCCTACATACCCTAACCCTACAAACCCCACAGTGACCCTAAATCCAAGTTTCAGGATTACAACTCTATCGGTTCACTCACAATTCAAATTGTACCAAATTTAGTACACAGTAGTACGAATTTCCAAAACCTCCAACTTACCCCAAACCTACAACCTCACAGTGATCCTAAATCCAAGTATCAGGATTCCAATACTATCGGTTCGCCCACAATTCAAATTGTACCACATTTAGTACATAGTAGTACCAATTTCGAAAACTTCCTACATACCCCAATCCTACACCCCCACAGTGATCCTAATTCCAAGTTTCAGAATTCCAACGCTATCGGTTCACTCACAATTCAAATTGTACCAAATTTAGTACACAGTAGTATGAATTTCCAAAACCTCCTACATACCCTAACCCTACAACCCCACAGTGACCCTAAATCCAAGTTTCAGGATTACAACTCTATCGGTTCACTCACAATTCAAATTGTACCAAATTTAGTACACAGTAGTACGAATTTCCAAAACCTCCAACTTACCCCAAACCTACAACCTCACAGTGATCCTAAATCCAAGTATCAGGATTCCAATACTATCGGTTCGCCCACAATTCAAATTGTACCACATTTAGTACATAGTAGTACCAATTTCCAAAACTTCCTACATACCCCAATCCTACACCCCCACAGTGATCCTAAATCCAAGTTTCAGGACTCCAACTCTATCTGTTCATCCACAATTCAATTTGTACCAAATTTAGTACACTGTAGTACGAATTTCCAAAACTTCAGGATTACAACTCTATCTGTTCACTCACAATTCAAATTGTACCAAATTTAGTACACAGTAGTACGAATTTCCAAAACCTCCTACTTACCCCAAACCTACAACCCCACAGTGATCCTAAATCCAAGTATCAGGATTCCAATACTATCGGTTCGCCCACAATTCAAATTGTACCACATTTAGTACACAGTAGTACCAATTTCCAAAACATCCTACAGAACCCAAACCTACACCTCTACAGTGATCCTAACTCCAAGTTTCAGGATTCCAGCTCTATCGGTTCACCCACAATTCAAATTGTACCAAATTTAGTACATAGTGGAACCAATTTCCAAAAGTTCCTACATACCCCAATCCTACACCCCCACAGTGATCCTAAATCCAAGTTTCAGGATTCCAACTCTATCGCTTCACCTACAGTTCAAATTGTGCGATATTAAGTACACAGTAGTACGAATTTCGAAAACTTCTTACTTACCCCAAACATAGATGCTAAATCCAAGTTTCAGGATTACAACTCTTTCGGTTCACTCACAATTCAAATTGTACCAAATTTAGTACACAGTAGTACGAATTTCCAAAACGTCCCACTGAACCCAAACTTTCACCTCCAGAGTGATCCTAAATCCAAGATTTAGGATTCCAACTCTATCTATCCCACAATTCAAATTGTACCAAATTTAGTACACATTAGCAACAATTTTTAAAACTTCCTACATATCTCGATCTTACACCCCAACAGTGATCCAGACTCCAAATTTCATGATTCTAGCTCTATTGGTTTGCATAAAATTCAAATTGTACCAAATTTAGTACCCATGAATAAAAATTACTGAAACTGGGTAAAAAAATTCCAAAATTACGTACATTCCCAATCCTACACTCCGACGGTAATGTTAATTTCAAATTTCAGGATTCCAGCTCGATTTTTATCTCCAAATTAAATTTGTACCAAATATAGTATCATATAGTACTTTTCGTACACATGAGTACACGCTTCCAAAACCATCTCCTTAAATGGACTCCACATCTCATCCCTAATTCGCATTTCAAATTTCAAGTTTTTAGCTCTATCAATTCACATGGTACGAAATTGTACAAAATTAAGTACATTTTAGTAATTTTCGGATATTTATAGTTCGAATTTCCAAAAACCCGTTGATACATATATCCTACACTCAGCGACCACCAGTCCAAATTTCAGAGTTCTAGCTCTACCGGTTCGTCAAATACAAATGGTATCACATTTAGCACTTTTTAGTACTTTTCGTACCGTTCTTGTACGAATTTCCAAAAACGCTTTTGTACATCTTCCTAACTTTACATCAGTGACCCACATTCCAAATTTCAGAATTCTAGCTCTTCCCGTTCGCCTAATACAAAGGGTACCATATTTGGTACATTTTAGTACTTTTCGTACCCTTCTAGTTCGAATTTCCAAAAACCCAGCCTTATCTCACGCCTACACACCAACACCAACCCACACTCAAAATTTCAAGCTTCTAGCTTTAGCCGTTTCGTCTGGGCGATGATCTGTCAGTCACTCACTCACTCACTCACTCAATCACTTAACACTAAGCTCTTTTATATATATATATATATATAGATATAGATTTATTTTTTAATTTTGTGGCTTGCTATGCCAAATTCCCATACAAATGTTTGTTTAAAGATGAATACTTCAACATTGGCAAGAAAAAATGTATGATTTGTGAAGGAATCAATATGTAAATCATATTCACAACTCGTCTTATGCAGTCATATGTTTCCAATTTTTTCATAAATTTGCCTTTGACAGTATTCAGCTTTCAAAATTTAAATGCAAATATCTTCCTTGGAAATATACTCATATCATGTGTTCAGTGGCAAAAATTGCTAAATAATTTATATTTATAAATGTTTCGAAGTTCCCTGCCTCTAAAACTTATAAATAAAAGATGTAACATCCATGGTTAAACCTTGAGAGAAATGTTCAGCTTTAGAAAATATATTTTTTTTAATTTATTGAAAATATACCAATCGACATACATAAAATTTTATAGAATTTATTTATTTTTCATAACATTTAAATTTGATAGATGAATTCCAAATTATAAAGGGTTGTCATAAAATTCTCAAATGAGACTACCTTCTGTAATTATACCATGCAATTTTTTCAATAAATAAAATATTGAAAATATTACAAAATTAAATTACAATGGGGCAACACACATTACAACTTAAAATTAAGGTCACCATACGTCCTCTTTTGTAGAGGACAGTCATCTATTTTAACTGGCTGTCATCTATAACATTTATGTCCTCCATCTGTCATCTAATTCTATAATCTGCCATCTTTGTCATCTATATTTTTTAACCCTTGATCAATATTTATTTTTGTAAATTAAAACAAATTACCAATTTTATAAAATTTCAATTTTATAAATATTTAGAAAAGGCATTTTCGGTATTTTTCAGAATTTTTAGACATATTTTCCAACCGAATTATCTGTTATTTTATATTTTGAGTTCTAATTGGGTAACAAATTTCCATGCAAAATTATTAAATTTTGATATATTTAAGGTTCTAGGACACGTTTTGCAATCGAATTGGCTGTAATTTGATATTTTGGGTTCCATGTTTCTATTTGCCTCTAAAAAACAAATTTTATTTGTTTTAATTAAAAATTTTCCTTCAAAAGTGAATGTAATTTACTATTCTTTGTGACCTATGGGTTGCAAAATATCCTTGGAAGATCCCAAGATTATTCGCTTAGGACTAAAAAATTGGCACGGCGTAATTTACACTTTTTAACTCATTTTATATATTATAAGTAAATTAAATGTACGTTGTACACACATACTATTATTTTTAATAAAAATATACTTTTTTCTTTTTGTCTTGTCATCTACTTTAATTTTCAAAATCTCGTCGCCTTATTAAAATACAATATGGCAACACGAATCTTTTTCCTAGTACCATTTTCGAAAATTCGAATTTGTATCTCGCATTTTGTTGCTTCTCCCTATTCATTCTGAATAGGCCGAGAATGTGAAAGGAAAACATTTTTACAAGCGAGATATCTCCCTAGCGAATATCCAGAATAAGGCTGATAATTTTTTGTGTGTCTCCACCATAAATGACGATTTCCTAGCAAGACGTTTGATATAAACGTTGCTTTGGCAAATTTCTTTATGCTTACAGCGTACAAACGTCTTACGTCCATGTGTATCATTTCGTACACTGCGACGTCTCAGAACTGTAAACAGTAATCAGCTGTTAACTATCGATAACATCTGTTGTCGATTTTATATCATCTGTGCACTGTTTTTTTCCGGTTGGGTTTTATAGATTAGGCAATTCATTTTATTTTCTTTTTAAAAATTATCAATTAAAATGTTTTTAATCAAAAGGTTTAATAGTACATTTCAACGTATAAATACAGTTAGTAAATCAAAACAACCAGGAGATTCATTAGGTGTACGAGTATGTATTACAAAAACTCCATTAAATTTATTTTCCCATCCAAAATTGATGTGATTATGTTATCGTTGCGCCCCAAAGGGATGGATCAAAAATATACGACGACTGAAGAATAATATATTCTTGGACATTAACGATGGTTCCACAACGCAAAAATTTCAAATTGTTGTTCCTAAAAATGAGGCGACAAAGGCATTGACAGCGGGTAGTCTAATCAGGGCAATAGGTAAGGTACAACTTGCACCCCATGGCCATTATGAATTGCATGCCGATGAGGTGGAAACATTGGGTAAGACAAATGATACAAATTTGATTTCTTAACCGGAAATAATAATGGACATTGCATTTTACAGCTGATGGCCACCTAACGGAGGGTTTCCCTTTTTCACCAAAGCAAAAACATGCTCCGGAATATGTCAGAGATTTTTTGCATTTACGTTCCCGTGTTGATTATGTAGCTGCTGCAATGCGGCTCAGACATAAAGCCCAGAAAGCTTTGCACGATTTTATGGACAGCAATGATTTTGTACAAATACATACCCCAATAATTACCACCAATGATTGTGAGGGTGCTGGAGAGGTAATATCCATTGAATTGTCTTTTGAAGTACTCTATAAATATGAATTGTTTTGTAGGTTTTTACATTACGTCCCGATTCGGAGTTGTTATTAAAACAAATGTCACGCCCAGAAATCCCCATCGAAAATAGTTATTTCGATTCGAAAGTTTTTCTCACTGTCTCTGGGCAATTGCATCTCGAATCTATGTCCTACGGGTTGGGTAACACATATTGTTTTGGTCCCGCCTTTAGAGCTGAAAACACTAAATCACCTTTACATTTATCCGAATTTTATATGTTCGAAGCTGAGATGACATACATTGAGGAGTTATGTGAACTTTGTAAATTTATGGAGAAAATGATCAAAAGTATTTCACAACAAATATTAGATACAAGTTCTATGGATTTGGAATTTTGTCAGAAAACCTCCCTGGGTGATAAACAATCTTTAGATTGGTTAGATAAAGATTGGATAACATTGAACTACAAGGAGGCATTGGATATAGTTATGCAGAATAAGGATAAATTTAAAACTGCCATAACACCCGATGAGGGTTTTTCCAAAGAACAAGAATTGTTTTTGGTTGAACATTGTAAGGCCCCCGTGTTTGTGGTAGATTGGCCTTCACAACAGAAACCATTCTATATGAAACAATCACGTACAGATGAATCTATTGTGCATGCCTTGGACTTACTGATGCCCTCAGTTGGTGAATTATGTGGTGGTAGTTTACGTGAAAATGATGAACACCGACTAAGAGCCCATCCACATTTACCACAAGGTATTGAATGGTATCTGGAATTGCGTAAATATGGTGGCATACCAACAGCCGGCTTTGGTATGGGTTTTGAACGTTATTTACAATTGTTAACAGGTGTCAAGAATATCCGTGATGTTATACCTTTCCCACGTTATCCACATAGTTGTAAAATGTAAATGTTATGTAATTTTTTAAGATCAAATGCTTTTGTAATTTAATAAAAAGTATTTAAATATAGAAATCGGATTTTTTATTTGTACAAATATTTGTCTACAACCCCAAACGACTCGAATGTCGCTCCGACTCGGCACATGCTGTGACTGTAATGCTTGCACAAACATTAAAATGTTATTTGATGTTAACAGTGTATGAGAGAATATTTGCGCCTAAAAGTATGCTCCCAGATTTTTTTAACCAAATCGCTGCCATGATGAGGTAGGTGACTGTGGCATGTGCCATGATCGATATAATTATCATTCCGATCGATCGATAACAAATTATGGATTATAAATTTAAATTTCTGCTGAACTCAGGCCGGAAAAATTCCCTTCAGCGATCGGAGTCGACAAGCAAATTTTTTTCGAATTATACAGCTATGGTGATGGAGGTGATACAGGTAAGGACTTGACAAGTAAACACAGTACGCCTTGTGAAATTTATATAAAAATCACAAGAAATATGATTGCTACTACTACTATTCCTAAGATGTTTAGTAGGGATCATTAGAACTTTCGGTTTGGCCAGGTCACCTTATACAAAGAGGCTAAAGTCAGTAACTGGGAAATTGGAGTTTGCGGAATTCCTTGGCAAAATAATTCCCTGTGAGAAGGTTGGCTTGCAGCGAAGTCTCGAGACTTCTGAGGCAGTTGTCGGCTGAGGCTGGTACTGATGAATCAGCACAAGAAACTAACAAACGCGTCAATGACAAAGAGATATCTGACAAAAAGATTTACCGGACAGCAATTAACTTTTGTAACCGGTTTATTGGGTGGCACAGGGATTCTATTACTGACAAGGAATACCTTCGGATTAGGAGGAATCTCAAAATCCTAGGGAAATTCTCTCGGAAATATCACAATGACATTGCGAGTGACTTCTTAAGGGAACCCCACCCTAGATTTTAATTTTTCAAGATTTTCAATGGGCTGGTAAATGAAAACAAATGCTTGTTAAGGTTTGTAACTTTGCACATACATATATAATTGAAGATTTAAAAGAGAAGAAAAATAATTTACAAAAAATTTTGTTATTGTTTTGTTGTTGTTTTTTGTAATTAAAGAAAATTCCTTATTTTTGATGGCGGGCATGATAACTCCTCACTGGAACATCGGAATCCGAAAATTCCAACGGTGTTAGAAAGAGTACATGTCTGGCTCTCGTATGAACTAACAAAATTAACAAAATGGTGGACCTTTGAAAAATATTTTTGGAAAATCGCCGATTTTTTACCAAAAACCAAGTTAAAAAATAAGGAAGATCTTCACCGATTGGCTTTATCCTAGTTCATACGATAGCTATACACTCCCAGAGAAACGTTGCAAAATTTGGAACCGATTGGATTATTAGTTTTTGAGTTATCGTGCCCGCCATTCGCAAAAAAATGTTTAGAGAAAAACGCGTTTAAAGTCTTTCAGCCGTCACTTGATGCTGACACAATAAATCGGCTATATCTTCAAGAGTTCTTGAGATTTTCACTTGAAATTTTGTAGAGACATTCGTTAATCAGTGTAGATTCGCTTTTGACCCCGAATTTAACTACGTCGCGTGCGAATTTAACCACAGTAGCCTCTACAAAGGAAGAGAAGACTATGAGTCTGAGCACAACCTCTCCAGAGAATATCTGAGTTTTGAGAAATTCTTCACTGCCAAGGAAGGCAAGGTTGCGTCGAAGTCGGTCTGAAGGAGAGCCCGTAAAAAGGGCATTCAGAAAGGCTGCTACAAAACACCATCCCTCTGAGCAACAAAATATATCAGTTGTTGCTGGATAAAACACCAAAGTGGCGAATACGAAGCAAGTGTTCGCGACAGCTGCAACTCTGGTGACCAAACCTCGAACACAACCAATGGCTGTGAATCTCTCTCATACCCTGTGGCTACATTAAATGCGGTCTTTAGATGATCAAAAAACTAGGAAAGGTTAACGAAGTCGATTTGGTTGCGTCGACAAAGATCCCTGCAAGGAGTGAGAAGAAGAAATCCACATCTGCTATCGAGACGCAAGCGTCCCGGAAGTCGGGTACGAAGCATTGCTACTCAGTCAGGTGTTCCGTTCTACCGACGAACGCAATCATTGACCCGGCGGAGCTTGGCGGCAAATCTTATTGGTTGTTAGTCGATCGGTATTCGAACAAAGTGACTTACGGTTGATCGGAGTAGTTGCAGTTCGTCTTCGGACGGCTCACAAGAAGGATGTAATTAAAAAGTATAATACGCCCACGGGCTTAAAAAATAAAATTTTACAAAATGGCGATGAACTCGTTTTTTAGACTTTGTCTATGCCTATATGGTCCTATACTAAATAGGAAGTGGAGTAGTTGGAGGAGGAATAAAGACGAAAAAAGGAGTAATTGTTTCCATTTGAGATGCTTATATAATGACACGTCGACGAGATACTGTGCGAATTGCCTTCAAATGAGAACTATTTACCTTTCAAAGAAAGTACCAAAGCTAAAGATACGGCTTTACTGACGATTTTCTTACAAAATTTTCTCCATACTTACCTTTTTTAGAATTGTGTAATATCGGAAAAATATAATACTACAAAATTAAGTTGGATATTACCATTTTATTATTATAATTTCGTTCGTTCACATTATTTGTTTGAAACAATAATAATTGCATAATTAAATGATTTTCAAAACGAACTAAAAAAGAAATACACATAGAACATTGAGAAAAAGAGGCGGCAATGGAAGGTGAAGAATGAACGAGAAAGGTTTTAAGTAAGTTGGGAAACATAAAATTAAAGCCACATTTTTTTACACAAATTATAAAACATAGTAGTGTAAAGTGAAAGGAATTTTTAAATGCAAACTACAAATATAACAGAACACATATTATGTAGTAAAGTAAATAAATGTATGAATGTAATATGTATGTAGGTATCTTTTTGTTTTTAATAAAATAAAAATAATAATTATGGAATAGTATTGCAAACGAGAAAAAAATGTAATTATTATTATTATATAAAGTCGTTTCGTAGTTTTCTCTTATCGTAGATACACTTGTAAATCGGACGCAGATTGTATTAGCACCTTTAGGCCGGGCATAAAACCGGCACACTGGGAGAAGTCCGAGCCGAAAGCAATTTGAGTATGTACTTGCAAGGCATTGCCGTAGTCACCGATTTGTATGAATTGTATGATTTGATTTAAAGCATCAATGGTGGCGGAATGGAGCTGCAAAAATGAAAAAAAGAGAATACCAATAAAATTAATCAAATGCCAATATTGAAAACAAAAAGTGTAGAGGAATTTGAACTTACCCTATTATCTCTTAGGCAATCGTATAGATTTTCCAAACGTTTGGTAACATCAACAAATTTACGTTTGGTGCGCTGCGAAAAAAGTTAAAGAAAAATAAAAAAATGTTATTGCTGTTGTCATAGAGTGTGGGAGGGGAAAAAATGAATATTTACCGGATCATTGGTAGCATTTAAGCAGTTGGTTTTCAATTCCTCCAATACCGTTTGTAGATAAATATATTCCTCTGGTAGTGGTGGCTTTTGTTTGGGTGGCTCTGGTTGACGTTGTGGTGGCTGCTGTTGTTGTTGCTGTAACTGATCATTGTAACCAACACCTCCTACCATACCCTGTGTTGGCTGAGTTTGCCATTGTGGCATCTGTTGAGGTTGCTGCTGCTGTTGTTGTTGGGGTATAGCCGATGTTTGGAAATTCATATTTTGCTGCTGGGGTGGCATATTATTATTTTGCATAGCTGTTGCTGGATTATAATATGAACCCATTTGTGGTGGCTGGGCTGGATTCAAGACATTCATGGGTTGTTGGTTTGGTGGTGGCATACCTCCCTGCAGCAAGAAATATAAAATTATCAATTAATATTTAAAAAAAATAATATTCCTGTTATTTACTAACCTGTTGATACTGAGCATTGGGATCCATATAACCATTTTGATTTTGATTGGGATCAACACCGAACAGCGGATGTGTTATGGGTGCTGGGGCTGAGGGTGCCGCCTCAGGCTTCTTGGGCTAAAAATATAAATAAACAAATCATTAAAATATATTCAAATAAGACAAATTCAAATTCGTCTGGTTAGTTGTCAATAGAACAAAAAGGGGAAAAGTATTCCAGTAACAGTTTTTTTAATTTGGAAACAAAAAGGACAGAACGAAAGCATTCAAAAAACAAGCTGTTAGCCAAAAGGAGAGGCAGAGAAAGACATGTTTGCATTACACACATCGTTACAAAAACAAAAGAAACAACAGCGGGGCCATTAACATGTGCAGGTTGGTTTTTCATTTTAGGCATTTGGTTGTTTTTTTTTTTTTGTCATCAAATACCTGATATTCATTGAAAAATTGTGTTGAATTTGTTGGCAAATACATCAAATCATTATAGATATTGTTGTTGTAATTCGTACTCAAATCATTTTGATTGTCTTTTTCATGATTTATAACCTTTTGCCATTTACGCGTACCTGCATGTGTGGCTGACATTTCATTTGGGCGATTTTGAGAAAAATATGGATTCTATTTTTTTGTTTTTTGGAATTTGATGAGATGTTTGAAACCCCAAAAGAAAAGAAGTAGAAGAAAAGAGATGTGAAATTATAATAAAAAACATAAAAATTTTAATCGAGTAGAGAGAAGGCAAAATAAAAAGAGCAACTTGCATATGAAAAAAGGTTTTGAAATGTTTGGAAAACACCATTCAGCCAGGCTGAATTGAAGTTTTCCTATGGAAAACACCATTCAGCCAGGCTGAATTGAAGTTTTCCTATGGAAAACACCATTCAGCCAGGCTGAATTGAAGTTTTCCTATGGAAAACACCATTCAGCCAGGATGAATTGAAGTTTTCCCATGGAAAACACCATTCATTGATTGGAGTTTTCCTATGGAAAAACTAATTCAGCCAGGCTGAATTGAAGTTTCCTATAGAAATCTGAATTCAGCCAGTTATTTTTATTTGAAATAATAAAAACTTTAGCAGATATCGAACCAATTTATAATTTTTATAGTCTCAAACTCTTCATTTTAAGTTTTTTTTTCGTTAGAGTTTAAAAAACATAGAACTTACCGGTCTTGATGATTTCAATGCTGGTGGATCATTCCAACCGGGTGGTGGTGTTGGATTACGTTGAATATTTTGCATTGGTGGTGGTGGTACGGCAGCACTGGCCGAATCCATGGGTCCACCAGCACCCGGCATATATGCATTATTACTGAATGGTGCCGAATTGAATGTTGGCTGCATTATCTGTGGCGCCGGAGCTGCAGCATTAAATGGTGTTGTATTAAATGATGTGGGTGCTTGCATTGGCGCGGCCACAGCTGGTTGAAGAACTGGTGCTGGTGGTTGATATGTATTACCATAACCTCCAACGGGTCCGGCTGGAGCCACAGATGGATCGAGTACATATTTAGCTCTCGATATTAACCCTCCACCACTTGTTGTACCACCTTGAGAACTTGAAGTACTCAATGGACGTGGTGGCTGGGGTGAATTGTCATTAGTTGGTGGTTTAACAGGTGTTGGAACTGCCGTACCGGGATTAAATAATGTGGGTACTGGAGCAACGGGTGGAGGTGCTGCCGCTGGATTATATACTCCGGGAGCCATTGGACTACCAACAGGATTTGAATTCCATGTATTAGCGGCAGGGGGAGCATATTGATTTGTTGTATTCGTGCCCAAATAATTCAAATTTTGATTGGAAGCATGAGAGAAAGAACCTCTCGGTTGTTGTTGGCTTTGTTGGAGAAGATTTTGTTGACCAATACCATATTGGTGTTGTTGCATGTGTTGCATTTGTTTTGCCTGGGGTTGAACAATATTGACAATGCGCTGCTTCAAATCATCCAAATCCGGATGAGTGGCAGAGGCCTTAATCTCCATAATGTATGTCAAGGCGGCAGTGAAGGCACCCTGAGCCACCAATAAACCACCATATTCCTTAATGAAGTCGGCCACCTTGCTATTCAATTCCACAGCAATGCCCTGTTCCTCCAGGGATTTATTCATTAACATTACCACTTCAGCCAACTCTTGCAGTTCCGAGGTACTTAATTTATAATTGGCATTTTGATTTTCCAATTGTTTCAATTTATACCAGGCATTGACCAGCTTATCAATGTTACCAGCACAAATATAACATAGCATTGCATTGCGTAGATATTCCGGATTGGCGGAGCTTTCATTCAACAGGCGATCGCCTAACTTTTCACAAATATCAACCAATTTACGTTCGCTGTGTCGCAGGGCAGCCACCAATGCTTCCTTCCATGAATCGATGGTACAACGTGTTACAAAATCCATCCAATCGCGTGTCACTAATGCCGATATTACATTGGACAGTTCACTTTGTTGTTCTTGTAAGTAACGATTTTGTGTTTTCGTTAGAAATTCAATGCCCGCCGTTGAGGCGATAATAAATGCTTCAGGTATACGTTTGGAATTCAAACATAATTGAACGGCAGCTTCGAGATTGCCGGTGAGTAGAGCTTCGGTAATGAGGCTATCGGCATCTGTAAGAAAAATGAAAAAAGGAAGAAACAACGATTATTAGGTGGTAAAGTATGTTGGAAAATTCATGAATCTTGTGATGGGTATATATCGGAGAATAAGGTTAGAGTTTCAATTTCAATTTACGAAGTGTAAAAAGTCAATGTCTCCTGGGCATCTAGGCAGTAGATGGTCGCACGTTTCCGCTCCTTCTTCTTCATTCCGAATAGATATTTGATATTTGGTCTGAGTAAAATTCTATGTCGGGTGCCATGATCTACCCATTAAATCCTACAAATAATAATACTCACGTTCTCCACTGGGTATTTTAAATTGTGGTTTCTTGGACACTTCTTCGCTAGTAGCAGCATCTTTTTGCGATGCAGCAATTCCATCAAATATGGCATTATTGTCAAGTTGTTGCTGAAATTAAAATATCAAGAAAAAAATTATTTATGTTGACCACTCTTTAAATATTTTAATAAAAAGATGTATTCCTCCAAAACCGATTTCAATATATTTTTTTTTAATTCCTACCCTTCTTTAATCCTTTAAAAAATTTATTAATGGAACCTAAGCTTACCGCTTACCATATAACTATTTGTGCTGCCATCTGTACTTTGATCACATTCAACATCCGTTGAATCACTCTTTTTTTAGATTTTTGTTGAATGGCGTGAATATAATTTTTTTACAATAAATGAAAAGAAATGAAATGGCTTTTATTTACAATATGCTTATTATGTGTGTGTATGTGTGTTCTTTAACAAACATATTTATCAACACAACTAGCCATTCTCTAATTTCTATTGATAAAGAAGAGACTGGGAGCTGGCATGACACTCATTGATGCTGTGTGTACATTAAGAAAAAACTAATAAGGGTTTTGAGATAAGAAACTAATTGAAACCATTAGTGCACACATAAGTCGTACTGCACAAGAACTAATAATAAAAACAATTTAAAAGAAAAAATATCTACGTGGTAGACAAAATGTCTTTATCAGTTCTACAAAAAAAAAATCTTAAACAAATAAAAAGGAGCAAACAAATTTATGTCTTAAAAACTAAAGAAAAAAAAAACTATTAAAAATAAACTATGGGGTTGCCACAAAGAATTTTCAATACTCACATGTGTCAATTGGGCCATACGATTATTCAATTGATCTATATCTTGATTTTGTTGATTCACATCTTCTTCTTCGGGTAAATATTTGGAGAATTTGCCATCAATGTCTTCTTTGTTGAAACCTAAAATAAAAATTATTTTTAGTTTAAGACATATTTAAACAACAATTCCAATAACATACCCAATAAATTTAAAATTTCTTCTTTGGGATTACGTTCAAAATTTGCCTTAATAAAATACCATAGATAACGGCCATTTTGATCTGGCATTTCATCGGCTTTCTTGCGACAATAATCCACAAAATTGGCCTCTTCCAGGGATTTTTCTAAAGCCTGGGCTCTTTCGACGAGCACAGGTTCAGTGGTTACTTGGGAAATGTTAATAGTTTTCGTTTTGTTATTAAAGGAGACCAATTTGCCACCAAACTGAAAAAAATTAGAAATTAAAAAAATTTGTTCTTCTACTTTTTCCATTCAAACAAACACTCACCCCAAATGTCACACCACATGGCTTTTTAATCCATTTCGGGGCATATTTCAAATCCTGATATATAATGGGCGCCGCCTGTTGTGGAATAGGAGCTTGGGCAAATTGATCCATACCCGGAAATGAGTCAGCAATTTTATTCGATGTCTGGACCTGCTGTTGTACCCCACCAAAAAGTGAATAAATCGATACATTGCCATCTAAACTGGAACTGGATATAAGCGCCGGGTTGCGTGGACACCATTGTACATCGGAATACCATGTGGCTGTTGTTGCCACCTCCGATAGAATTTCACCTTCCGGTGACTGAGTATTTGGATTCCAGCAATAAATGCGATTATCTTTACCACATGATACCATCAAATCAATATCTCGTGGACACCAAGACATACCCAAGACACCACGTTGATGTATTTGCATTGTTTTGGCCGGTGCTGTGGCATAACGTAAATCCCACAATTGGACCACCGGCGCCTGATCATCCTCCGATGCCAACCACACCTGTGTGGCAGCCTCGGGGTGCCATTGTATAGCATGCCAACGTACCCGGGATTGTGTATCGGAAAGTTTAATGATTTGTTCACTTTTACGTAAATCCCAAATAACACAACGCGAACTGAATACCGAAGCTAAAATATGTTGCACTTGACGATTCCAGGCCACATTTTTTACATCCTCAAAAGGTTGAGTTTTGGTGCCAGGGTTCATGTGTGTTGACGTGTTATTAAGATCCCATATAAATATCTCCGATTCGGATGCACACGATGCCAGTAGGTTATTTTGGAATGGATTGAAATCCAAACCACTCACCGGACCGGTATGTTTATCTTGACGGGCAATTAAACCATCTTCATTGGCCAGCATTTTGGCAGGGGAATATATCATAACATGACCACCCTCACAGCCACCCACAATTAGTCCATTGTTGTGTGCAGCTCCAAAACCTGTTGGGCTCCAAATAATTTTCTGGAATCTTCACAAAAAAACCAACATCATTCATGACAAAATTAAAATTTCAATATTACACTAGCATACCTATATTGACTGGGTGCTGATGCCTTCAATTCCAAATCATAACTGGGATCACCAAAATTCGTTGAATAAATCTCCAATGTAGAATTTGCATTCGAGTCAAATTGTTGAGCTGCAGTTCCGGCTGCCAAATAAATTGGATTCTGTGGCAATGGTGACCAGGCAATGTTCACGGTTTTTTGTAGCTCTTTGATTTTCATCTTGGCACTGTGATTTCAATTTCTTTTCCAACAAAAATCTTTAGGCCAAAGCCACCTTAAAATAAAAAAGAAGCAATTAGGAAATTCACATGAAAATTGTGTCATCCATTAAGACAGATGATGTCGGTGGTTCTGTTTATTTGCTTGCTTGCTGGCACCAATTAAAAATGTCCCCGTCATCAACTTTTTTTGTAACTTCTTCTTGTTCTCTTCTCTCACATACCACAAATGTTTTTGCCAGAATTACTTATTAATCGTAATTTGTTTATGGAAATTTTTTATGTTGTTAATACCTTTATGTTTGTTTTCTTAAAAATAAATTTTATTATTTGTAACTAATTAATTACAATTGGTTTTATGAAACAACTTTATGCCGACGTATGTTTTTTCGTTTGTTCTCAATTGCCATATGTCAATTCCACCATAATTAGGGGAGGAATTATAAAGTGACACGAGACACTAGGTCTATATTGCCACTTTCACGGGTATTAATATATATTTTTTGGGAATATTGTAAATTTGGTCTTTTTCACGTGTAAAATTGTAGTTATGAATTGTTTTTTAATTCTTAGATTTTGATGTCTGCATCTTTGTAATATTTCCATAAAGCGAAGTAAGCTTTGACGTTGTTCGATTTTAATATGATGTCGATTGATGTTTGGTGTATGTCAAGATTTTGTAGTTTTTGCAATAGGAAAAGACGTGTGTTGATGTTGATATTCGGGCATTTGAACGTAATATGATCCATAGTTTGGACGTCGCCACAGTCACATCTGTCGGAGCTGGAGATATTTATTTTATGGAGGTGATGTTTTGTTTGGTTATGGCCAAATCTGAGTCTTGTGATGGTTGTTGCAACACTCCGGGGTATTTTAACGTACCGGAACCAGGGCTGACAGTTAACTTTAGGCGAGAAAGAGTAAAATCTTCTGCCAAAGATGCTGGTGTTTCATTTTTGTTGCCATGATGCAAGAGCTGTGGATCTGTCTTTTTGTTTTATGTCTGATGGAAATAGTGCCGGATATGAATCGACGGGGATATGGCTGGTGGCAATGGAGTCCACATACTCATTTCCCTCGATGCCACAATGACTTGGCACCCAGAGAAAGTGTATTATAAAGGCCTCTCTGGACATAAGATACACCTCATTTTTTATTCGATAAATAGAAGGATGGGTGTTTTTGCTGTTTTGAGATTGAATGGCCTAAAGGACTGATTTACTATCTGTGATTATAAGGTATTTATCAGAGCCACATGTTCTGATCAGCGGTAAATATAGAACTTTCCAGAGAGAAGGATGCTTCAATGTCTAACGATGGCAACCAAAGCGCGCAGCTAGTTTTCTCGGAAGTTTTAGAACCGTCTGTAAATACTTTTGTATAATTGCTAAATTCAGTTTCCACAGTAATATTGAATTCATTGGTAGCGTCCGCTGCTGTTGTGCGACTTTTACAAACATTGAGGAAAGTTACATTTGGAACTAGTAGGTTGGCTTGAAGAGGAAATGTGTATTGAACAGGTCGGGGGAGTCTGATGAGATTGTGTTGTGTTCTTTTGTCCTGGTATAGTTGGAAAAGCGAGGGTCTAGCTTGAAATTTCTCATTATATTCCAAAATATATTTATTGGCAGGGTTTCTGCAGTCGGCAATCATGTTGTTTATATAATTATTGGCAAGCAGTCTGAATCTTTCCGGCAGGGGCATTACATTGGCTTCCACTTCTAGAGATTGCGTATGCGTGGAGATCATTGCTCCGAGGGCAGCTCTCAGCGCTCGAAATTGTATCCGTTGAATTTTAAGCAGTTTGTTTAGCGGTGCATCAAGCAGTAAATGCCCCATGTAGTCTATTTTGGGTCTTACTACGCCAATGTATAGACGGATGAGTTGATGTGGGTTGCCTCCCCAGGATACTCCACAAAGGGCCGGATAATATTCTTAAAATGGAAATGTTGTTTTGTGTATGTAATCAATATGTGGTGCTAGACTTAACTTTGAGTCCAGCGTGAAACCCAAAAAATTAAATGTGCTTACAAATTCGATACGTTCGCTGTTAATGTATAAATCAGGGTGGTTTTGAATGGAATTTCGGGTAGATGGATTGAAGAGCATGCCTTTCGATTTCTGTGGGGACAGTTCCAATTGTATATCGTTCAATTTGTTAACTATGCAGTTAAGTGCGTGCTGCATCTTTCTTTTTGCCACATTAAGGTCTCTTTCAGCGCAGAATACAACCAAGTCATCTGCATATCCTAAAATGTCTACATGCAGGTCTTTGAATACATCATTAATGTATATGTTGAAACTCAGTGGGCTCATAACAGAACCTTGAGGAGTTCCCGTAAAAGACCTTCGAGATGTACCAGTATCTGTGTCGATAATGAGTTCCTTGTATTGAAAAAGAAGGTGTACAATCGAGGAGGTATGATCACTTACTCCGAGTTCTTTATATTTTTGTATTAGTATATCAATGTTTACATTATCAAAAGCTCCTTTGATGTCGAGGAATGTTGCCAAGAGAAATTTACCCTCTCTTTTTGCTAGCTGTACCGCAGACCATATGCTGGTAACATTGTCTCTAGTTGATCTATTCTTTCGAAATCCAGACTGTGCGTTGTGTAATTTATCACACGATTCAAGCTGGTGGTCAATTCGGAAAAATAACATTCTCTCAAATATTTTACGCCAACATGATATTATAGCGATTGATCGGTATGAGTGAGGGTCATCAGGCGGTTTGCCTTTTTTATGAATAGGGCATATTTTGTATTTTAACCATGAACCATTGTGTCCTTTGAAGTGTTAATTGCCGCGTTCAATTCATCCATAGTAAAATCAGTGTCATTTGAAATGTTGCCAAGAGTAGGGGGTACGTTGATAGGCCCGATTGGGCCAGAAATTATGTCGCAGAATTTATCTGCGCACATTTCTGGCATATATTTACTTTTGGTTGCATGTCTGCCTCTAAATTTTTTGACAATATTCCAAAGTTCTGTTGAAGATATGTCAGCACTAATACCTTCGCACATTTCTTGCCATCCTTTCCGTTTTTCTTCTCTGAGAGTATAGAAGTACTCTTTTTGGCATATTTTTAATTTTTCGTTGTTGATCCTGTTTGGTGTTTTTTCATATCGAGCTACCGCTTTAATAAGAGTTGCTCTTACCTTTTTGCATTTCAAGCTCCACCAACTGTTATCCGGATACTCTTTTTTGCCAACAGGTGCTTTGAATATTTCGTAAAATTTATGAGAAAGAAGTTCAAATTTTGATTGTAAATATTGGTCGTCGTTAAGTATTTGAATTATGACCTGGTTAATTCGATCTTGAGCTATGTTTTTTGGTATACCGTAGCTATTTTTACAATATGTTGTATATAAGTCAATCTCCATAATTATAGCGCAATGGTCTGAACCAAGACACTCATTTAAAGTGGACCACGTTGTAACAAGAGCAATGGAAGGGCTACATATTGATAAGTCCAACGCCGAAGGAAAGCTGCTACCAAAATAGGTTGACGAGCCGTCATTTAGAAGGACAAGATCTTTATCTTCTATAAATTGAAGCATATTTTCTCCACGAATATCTGTGTTACTACAGCCCCATATTTGGTGATGGCAGTTAAAGTCACCGCACATTATTATTTTAGCATTTTGTGGAATGCTTGTGGTAATACTCATTAAGTCAGCGGTGCTGAATGTCACGTTGGGTGGAATATATATAGATATTATAATTGTAGGGCCGGAATCGTTATTTATACAGCACGCAATTATTTCTATATTACGGTTAATTATAAAATATAATAATTGAAATGTCAAAGCTGGTGTATTTTATTGTATTCTTCATAAGAATGGCAACGCCGCCGCCATATGATAATCTATCTTTTCTTAAAATGTCATAATTAGGTATAGAAAAATGATCCGTAGTATCCAAATAG